GCACTCCCGTACACGCACCCGCGTGTGCCCCGCACACACTCCCGCTCCCCCCCCTCCCCATCCTTCCCTTCCCGCTCCCCCCGTGGCGCGGCCGGGATTCCACGCGCCGTGACGTCAGGGCGCGCGGCCCCGCCCGGGCGCTATAAGAGGGGCCGCGTGCCGCAGTGGGCCCGGCGGAGAGCGGCGGCGGCACCGGGGCCGGGCGGGAGAGGAGAGAGAGGAGAGGCGACACGGCGGAGCGATGGCGGCGGGGGGCCCCGGCAGCCTCCTCCTCCTCCTCCTGCTGTCGCTGCTGTCGCTGCGCGGCCGCGGGCAGGGCTTCGGGCAGACGCGGTTCATCTGCACCTCGGTGCCGTTGGACGGGGACATGTGCGCCGCTACCGCGCCGGGCGGGGGGGGTTCGGCCGAAGAGCTGAAGAGCACGGTGCTGCAGCTGCGGGAGACGGTGCTGCAGCAGAAGGAGACCATCATGAACCAGAAGGAAACCATCCGGGAGCTGACGGCCAAACTGGGCCGTTGCGAGAGCCAGAGCGTGTTGGAGGGGCTGCCCGGCGAGCCCAAAGGCGGCGGGGCCGGTAGGAAAGGCGGCTTTTCCAAAAACACCATGGGCGACCTGTCGCGGGCACCCGCCGCCGAGACCCTCAGCCAGCTGGGACAGACCCTGCAGTCCCTCAAGACGCGGTTGGAGAACCTGGAGGTACGGGACGAACCCCCCCCAAAACCCCTTCCCGCCGCCCCCGGGGCAGCCCATCGGCCGGAGCCCGGGGGGGGTGCGGGAGCCTCGGCGGGTCGGGAGGTGACAGCCCCGCTCCTCCGCTCGCCCCTTTGCAGCAGTTCAGCAGGATGAACTCCTCCAGCCAGACCAACAACCTGAAGGACATCCTGCAGAACAAAATCGACGACCTGGAGAAGCAGGTGCTGTCGCGGGTCAACAGCCTGGAGGAGGGCAAGTACAACCCCAAGAACGAGTCCGAGGAACGCGGCAAAATCGAGAGCACCCTCACGTCGCTGCACCAGCGCATCACCGACCTGGAGAAAGGTACCGGGGCGCTGCACACCCCCGGGGGCAGCATCCCCCACCATCCCAGAGAACCCCCCCTGTGCCTTCCCCAGCGCCCCACACTTGCCGGGGGGATGCTGAGCCACCCCAGGTGGGTGGCCCGTCCCGTTCTCCACCGTGTGGAGCAGGGTCCCTTTCCCCCCCCCGCTGTATCCGGAGGGTGCCCGCGGGCTCGGCGGCAGGAGCTGGGGATGCTGCGGGCGCTGCCCCGTGCCGGGGATTAGGGAGCCGGGCAGTGCCGGAGGGATTTGCTCCTTGCTGCCATCCCAAGGCCCGTTACGTAACGGGGTGGGGAAAAGAGGGGGGGGACACACGACGATGACACCCCCAAAGTGGGCAGAGAGATGGGGGGGGGGTCCGGCTGGAGCCCACCGCCCCCTCTGCACCCCTCAGGCCAGAAGGACAACCGGCCCCCGGACAGGTTCCAGCTCACCTTCCCGCTGCGCACCAACTACATGTACGCCAAGGTGAAGAAGAGCCTGCCCGAGATGTACGCCTTCAGCGTCTGCATGTGGATCAAATCCAACGCCTCCCCTGGCATGGGCACCCCCTTTTCCTACGCCGTGCCCGGGCAGGCCAACGAGCTGGTGCTCATTGAGTGGGGCAACAACCCCATGGAGATCCTCATCAACGACAAGGTAAGGCCCTGGGGAGCAGGGATGGGCAATGGGTGATGGAAGGGGGTGAGGAGAGCAGTATGGGGGACCCCAAATGCCCACACCCATGACCCACCACCTCCTGCAGGTGGCCAAACTGCCCTTTGTCATCAACGACGGCAAGTGGCACCACATCTGCGTCACCTGGACCACGCGGGACGGCGTGTGGGAAGCCTACCAGGACGGCACGCAGACCGGCAGCGGCGAGAACCTGGCCCCCTACCACCCCATCAAACCCCAGGGGGTCCTTGTCCTGGGCCAGGAGCAGGTAAGGGCTCTGGGGAGGGGGCAGGTATGGGGGTCCCCAAGGTGGGGATGCACCCAAGGGGCTGGGTGCTCTCGGGGTGGGATGGGGCAGCCCTGGCTGTGTGCCCCCATGGGTGACGGTGGCTCCTCGGCAGGACACGCTGGGCGGCGGGTTCGACGCCACGCAGGCCTTCGTGGGGGAGCTGGCCCATTTCAACGTGTGGGACAGGAAGCTGAGCCCCGGGGAGGTGTACAGCCTGGCCACCTGCAGCACCCGGGCACTGGCCGGCAACGTCATCGCCTGGGCAGAGGCCAACATCGACATCTACGGCGGGGCCACCAAGTGGACTTTCGAGGCCTGTCGCCAGCTCAACTAGGGCCACCACGGACAAGCGAGAGAAACCTCCTCATCGGGTTCTTTTCTTTCTTTTTTTTTTTTTTTTTTCCAATTTTCCTCCTTTTTTCTTTTTTGTTTTTTTTTTGCGCAAAAAAAACCCAACCGAGAACGAAGCCACCCGTCTTGTCCTGAGGAGTGGGGGCTGCCCCCCGGAGCCCCCACCACCCTCCGGTTTCTGTCTTGCCAACGTCCTTCAACGCCTGCGTGCCTTGGCCTGGCGCGGCTGCGCCCCCCCCCCTCACC